ATATCGCCGTTTAAAAATGCAGTACACACATCTAGTTGGGATAACTTCATGTCATTTTCAATCGCATGTGCAATGAGTAGCCTAATAGTACTCATTTTTGCAACAGGTGCAAATGTTTCTGTGTAATCAATACCTTCTTTCTGATTAAATCCACGCGCTACAAGTCGTGCCTTTCGTCTATCTATTTCTCCTAGTGCATTATATTTATATTTCAAAATCATTTTATTATCTATTAAATTTTTGCTTTCGTTCTTGTGTACAACTGTCCAAGTATTGTTTTTAAGATGAGATTCTATCTCGTTTATTATTGCATCTTCCCATTCATCACTGTTTTCATCTATTTCACAGAGGAATGATTGCTCAGCATCCATCTCATAATCTTGATGCCATGCTGGTGGTTTTCTCTGTCTTTTTATACTATTAGTCGTTGCTTCGACTTCATTATCTGTACACATGTCATTATTTATTTCGTCTATTTCTGTAGTTGCATCTAGGAATAATTCATCATTGTTAAAATCATGTTCTGACCCATTTCCTTCATTTTCTATTAATTTATCATTGTTTTCTTCATTATGTTCTTCTGGAAAAAATATAACTTCTATTTCCTTTTTATCAATTTCTTTTTGATTTTCTTCTTCTTTCATCTCGTTCTCATAAAACATTTTATCTAATACTTTAACATCTCTGCTGATTATCACCTTGTCTGTTTTCGGGTTGAATATCCGGTACGCCTTATGATTTTCGGAATATCCGATGAAAATTCCAGCTGTTGCTCTGGCTTTAAATTTTCCATTTTTCTTTCCTTTATTTAATACGAATGCTTTAGCCCCAAATATGTGAAAATGCCTCACAGATGGTACTTTCTTTACCCATTTTTCAAACGGAGTCGCATTATCAATGCTGCTGCAAGGACTTCGATTCGCCAAGTAGTTAGCTGTACTAATTGCTTCAGCCCAAAAATCTTCTTTCATATTAGCGTCTATCAGCATGCATCTAGCTTTATCAAGCAATGTTCTATTTTTTCTTTCTGCTAATCCATTTTGTTCTGGCGTATATGGTGCGGAAAGTCTCCTCTTGATACCTTTGTCTTTTAAGTAATTATCAAATCTTTTGTTTATATACTCTGTCCCATTATCACTTTGTAAATATATTATTTTATTTTTCGTAAATCGTTCAGCCTCGTTTTTAAATTCTATAAATTTTGATAGGGCTTCATCTTTAGTTTTCATTGTATATACTCGTGTATATCTCGAATTATCATCTGTGAATGTGATGAAATATTTTGAACCTCCCTTAGATGGCTGTCTCATGGGACCACATACATCAGTATGTACAATTTCTAATCTATGATTTGTCCGTTGCTCATTTTTACATGTATTAAACGGTAGTTTCTTTGCTTTACCTTTAGCACAGACTACACAATCTCTAACTGTATCAGATTTATTAAATTCTAAGCCTTCCATACTTTTCTTATCAAGAGCTATTCTCATTTGCCTCTCATTAAGGTGTGCTAGTTTTCTATGCCATAGTTGCATTTTATTTGTTTCACAATAGTTCGATTTCTCTTCTAAATTTTCTTTAACGTAGTATAAACCATCTTCATTTCTTTCTGCTTTTAACAGAATTTGACCATTTCGCATTACGCTTGCTTGTTGCTTCTTAAATAAAACTGTTGCACCTTTATCTGTCATTTTTCCTACTGACATAAGATTTGTAGTCAGCGACGGTACATACAAGGCTTCATCTAGTTGTAAACCAGGTATTTCCTTTATGTTCAGTTTCACTGAACCTCGACCTTCAATTTGTGCTGTACAGTTCTCTGAAGCTAACCTTATAGTTTTATAGTCTTCTTTTTCTACATTATGGAATCTTTCCAATTCATGAGTCATATGTGACGTGCATCCACTATCAAGACACCATTTTCTGGCTTTTTCTTTATTATTATTAGCATTTAGACATGTTTCTATGGAATAATTCGCACTGCTTTTAGTTTTGTTCACTTTTGACCAGCATTCATTCGCTTTATGCCCCTTTTTATGACATTTGTAGCATTCAGTAATATATTTCTTATTTTTTCTTTGCTGCTCTTGTTCTGAGTTCCCATCAGTTGGAGTAGCCATATTTTTTCGTGCTTCAGCTTCCTCAATGATTTTTATTTTCAGGCTATCTGGATTTGGTAAATCATCTCTAGATTCTATGGCTATGCGAAAATTTTCAAAAGATTGTGGTAAACTATATAGCAGCATTATACTTAATAAATCTTTATTAATTATTATATCCATGTCGGCTAGTTTATCGACAATATCCATAAATTTGTTTAAATGATCAACTATGCTGTCATTGTCTTTCATTTTTCTTAATATCAATTCTTTTAACAGGGTTGCTTTTCTAGCGGGACCTTTACTATTATATATATTTTCAAGCGTATCCCAGACTTCTTTACTTGTTTGACAATTTTTTACTTGTTTTAGTTCGCTTGGAGATATAATAAGAAATAATTCAGCTAATGCTAACCCATCTTTTTCTATATATTTGCTCAGTTCGTCGCCTTCGCTTATTGGCTTCTTAATTTTATTAGAAACATAGTTCCAAAGACCAAGTTTCAACAACAGAGCTTTTGCATGAATTCTCCATGTATCGTAATTTTCTCTTTTTAATGGCTCTATGTGCACATGATGGCTCATCTTTCTCTTTTTCGTATATACGATTTCTCGCGTTTACGCGCAGCCCATAACCTTTTATAGAGAGTAGTTTTATCGCAGTGGAGTTATCTTTAATAAAGTCCTTTTTTAAATAAGCATAGTTTTATTTATTTCAATTTACAATTTATTAACACAACCTGACACATTTATTTTTACCGACATCTATCAAAATTATATTCTTATATTTAAATTTTATTGCCAGACAGTATTCTCTATGACAGATCCTATGACCTATCGGCTATCACTGTCGGTGTCGAATGTAGTTGAAAAGTATTTGTTAGTACGGCACGGCCAATAAATATAATAATAATCATTGTTAACGTGAAAACAATTCTATCAGGGTTTTCAAATAATGTATCATAACCAAATAATTAAAATATTGACTTTTTCTTAATTTTCTTTTAAACCTATAGATTTCTTGTGTCATACCGTGTCTGCCATAATTAATCAGGAATGGCATAATCTTTACAATAGGAGTGCACGATATATACCGATAATTCATAAAATATCGATATATATCGCTTCAACCCGATATTATCGAATCATCTAGTATCGATATTATATATCGATATATTTCATCCGATATATCAAATATCCAGAGAAATTAAAAGTACATTCCATTTCTTTTTTTTATATTGATTCCTTTATTTATGGATGGCAACTTGAGTAAGAATAAAACTAAAACCCCGAATTATTTCAAAACTAGCCTTTGCAATAACGGAACGCAAAGACACGAAAATTGAAAACTATTCTCTTACTCTCCGTGAAGTCAAACTAACTTAGTAGTAAAAAATTTATAATCTGTGACTGTAGTCGTAACTCGTACGTTGTAGTATGACTGTGCCTCGAGAGTCTCACTCGCTTCCGAAATCCGAGTTCCGACTTCCACTTCCTTCATCGTTCTCAGTTCTCACTTCTCAGTACAAATTACAAAATCTATACATATAATAAAATTCTAACTAAGCCGAATCTGGACATTAATTTTTTTTGGAAAATCTTATTGAAATAGATATTATTATCGGTACAGAGGCCGAATCTATAGTTTTTATAATGTTTGTCTGTCTGTCTGTCTGTCTGTTACCGCATCACGGAAAAACCACTGGATGGATTTTGATGAAATTTGGTATGGTGATAGCTTGTTATCCGGGTCAACATATAGGATACTTTTTACCACGGGAAAATATCTCATTTCTGAGAAAAACTACAAAAACTGCAATGTAAGTAACTTATATTTAAAACCAAATATTTTAATTGGTTTTTTCATTGTAAATATTTTAATTGGTTTTTTAATTGTAAATGTTGTTAAATTTTAATTGGTTTTTGGTCATCTGAACACGGGAGGAGCCGCGGGCAATGCTAGTGACCTATAAAGTATAAATAAAAGTTGTCTGTTTTGTTTAATACAGTTTACGAAATTTAAGTACAGTTAGTGTGTATAGCGATATATAAAACGGCTATTTTAACTCGGCAGAGAAACAGACTGCAAGCCAAAAGAGTTAATAAAATTTTGTTTTTGCAAGGTCTAGAGAAAAAGTATTGGGATTAATAAATAAATAAAATGTTTTGTTTCTTCACTAACTGTTTTTACTCATATTAACCTGATCCCTATCTAATATTTAAGTACCTGGGCTACCGAGCTTCGCTCGGAGTTTTTGGCCTAAAGTACAATTTAAAAAAAAAAATTGAAACTTGAATAAATAGTAAAAAGTAAAAGTTTTATATCCGACCGGGATTAAAATCAGGACACCAATGATTGTCAATCTTGCCTATACCCGAACGTGCGTAATTATCGACGATATTTTATTTCGTGGAATAAAGCGAAAGAAAACCGTATGAAAATTCGAAAACACGCGTTGCACAGCCTACCCACAAGGGCTGTCTGTATTAACTATACCTTCGAGACATGTAACATCTCAGTCTCTTCCGTGACCATGGATGCTGTAAAGCATTCGAAACGTTGGGAAACAAAAATCCAAATAAATCCGCGACAAAATCCGAAAAGATAGTTTTATTTAAAAGATATATTGAGACTTCATCGATGTTATAAAGTGCTGTACCTAAGTAGTTATTATAATACGTAGCCGTAGGTAATCATTAAAAATAAATAAGTGTAGTGACATTAATCATTCGTCTTTTAGATTTTTGTCAATGTTATTTCTTTTATTTATATGAAAAATTACTAATAAGTTTAAAATAACGCTACATCTGTTATCAATATTTATGGATAAATATTTTCTGTTATCATTCGCCGCTACTTCACTGTGATTCGTTGACCTTATATTACTCGACACTTTTATAATGAGCGCAGAAGCGACAGCTAATTCCCAAGCAGACGTCTTGAGTAAAGTTAATATTTCTAAATCGACAACTGCACCAGCTAATATGAATAACCAAAAAGTTACGAAGACTATTGTGACATCACCATATATTTACAAACCTGTTGGACCATATAGGTAGGAATATTATCATATTTTTAAATAATATTTTTCGTAAGCCATGCAGTGTTCATATACCTACAAATTTTTCGAGTAACCTTATCATATTACGTATAGAAAGAAAATCTTTATTATAGTAAGCGCAATTTTACAAAATGTATTGGATATACTTACTAAAAACTTTAAAGTTCTTACGTATTATAATGGACTAACTATAAGGATTTCGAAATTAAGCGAGATACCACAAAGTTACTAGTCATTTTCATCTTACTTTGGGTTGATTTTATCATTAATACTTAATTTATTAAGTCTGACAATTTTTAATATATATATACTTATAAAATTATAAATCTTCAGTCAAGCTATTCTAGCCGACAAGACTCTGTACGTGTCCGGTGTATTGGGATTAGACCAGCAAGGACAGCTAGTATGTGGTGATGCAGAGGGTCAAGCTCAACAAGCACTAGATAATTTAAAACATGTTTTGGAAGCTGGTGGTTCTTCGCTTAAGGGTGCTGTAAAGACCACTATTTTACTTGCTAATATGGACGATTTTCAAGCTGTAAACAAAGTGTATGCAAAATGTAAGTAATAATCTCTGATTATACCTATTATGTGGGAGATATTTTAGTACCTACTCTATTAGAAGTTATACACACAACTTACAATGAACAGCTCTGGGCTCCCACACGAGCAGCACCTCCTCAATAGAAATTTCTAGGTGTTCTCTAATTCGTTTATGCGTGAAATTGTAGGCAAACAACTTCTTCTCTTAGACTAAGAATTTCTTAACAAAAACTTACACATAACTTAAAATTACTGTTTTGTTACCTATACTAATATTATAAAGAGGTAAAGTGTGTGAGAATGTGAGTTTGTGACGTTGTAGGGAGTAATCTCTGGATCTACTGAACCGATTTAGATGAAATTTGGTAAGAAGATAGTTTGAGACCCTGGGAAGGACATAGGATAGTTTTTATCCCGGAAATCATCCCTTAAAGGGCTGAAAATGGGGACGAAAGTTTGTATGGGAAATCAAGCTAGGGACGAACCCAAGCGAAGCGAGGGTGAGTCGCTAGTACGTTATATTGTATCTTTACTAATATTATAATTATAAAAAGGTAAAGTTGTGAGATTGTAGGGGGATAATCTCTAGATGTACTTAACCGATTTTGATGAAATTTGCTATGAAGATAGTTTGAGATACTGGATAGGACATAGGATAGTTCTTATCCCAGAAATCATCCCTTAAGGGGTTGAAAATGGGGTTGAAAGTATTTATGGGGAATCAACCTAGGGACTAACCCGAGCGAAGCGAGGGTGAGTCGCTAGTACTATAATAAAGCAGTAACTTAGCGATATCTGTACATGAAATATTTTTTAAAAATAATGACTGTAACGTATTATGTATACAATATTATAGACCCCAAAACAATACTTATTAAAATTTTCGTCTGTTTGTGTGTGCACGTTTCACGCAAAAAGCACCAACTTCGAAAATATCCTGATTAGGTATCTATTCTAAATGAAAACCTCCGTTTAGTTATTTTTTACATTTTAGTGCCTGGAAATCGGTTTTTATTTTTTGTTGAAAAGTTTTTATTTTAAACATTTTAGACGATAAATTTACTTATTTTGATAAGAATTCATAATTGTTGATAATATGACCAATAAACATGACCTACCGATTTAAATTATTACTACTTTTTGTGACTTAAATATAAAAGTTAGACATATGCTCTCGGTGACTTTTTTGTAGGCATTACTAAGCTCTACAACTTTTCTCTAGAACATAATCATTTAACTCTCATCGTTAAGGCAGCGTTCGTAGGAAACGTTTTCGTTCGACCGTCTTTTCTCCGACTTACTTTGCAAATCCGACTACCATGAAAAAGTATTTTCATTCTTCGGGTTAATATATAGCCTATGACACTCAGAAATAACGTGGCTTTCTATTGGTAAAAGAATTATCAAAATCAGTTTAGTAGATCCAGAAATTACCCCCAATTACGTCAAAAACTCACAAACTTTTCCCCTTTATAATATTAGTATAGATAGATTATTTTTAACACTACTTTTCGTTACCTACTAACAGATTTCAAAATAATTTTAAGAATCTCTTCAGGCTGGATTTTTTTTAAAGTTTACATGCAACCGCTGATGTATTATATAACCTTCTTACTCAAAAAATTGATTTACTAATTGGCGAACATAATATCCTCTACACATACCTACACTAAAAAATCATAATACAACCAAAGAATTACAAAAACTGATTAGCTTTCAATATTAAAGGTCTATAAATACTTTGATAAGAAAATCGTTAACATAAAAGCATGAAAAGTCAATCAAGCAAATGTAACCACATGCATTCGTGTTGTTCATACTTCATCAAGCAAAAACACTTTACATATCCATACATATTATGTATGTATAAATGCCACCTGCAACTATAGTAACTATAACAGGTCATAAAACGTTTTCTTTTCCTTTGTTTCATTTGTGTGCTTTCCCATTTAAATATATTTTAGGAATATAAATTTATCGAATAGGTACTCGTATTATATAAGTATAAAATGATGATGATGTTCTCCTAGCCGATTCCGGCCACGGCGGCCAATCTCATTGAGATTAGCCAACTGCGCAGGAGATATTTTAGTGCACAAGTGTACGCGCAGACACAAGTGCACTCTCTATTCCTGTCACTCTCATACTCCGGTGGGACGATCACTCGACACGACCGGTGAGAGTTAAGGCGCAGGACCGACGGCTTTACGTGCTCTCCGAGGCACGGGGGTGAAACACCGCCAACTTCCCAACTCCGGGTTGTTACTGAGACTTACTATACAGAAAGACTCAATAACTAAACTTGGCCCGACCCGGGACTCGAACCCAGGACCTCCGGGTGTGCAGCCGTACATGCCAGCCACTACACCACCGAGGCAGTTAAAATATATAGCAATCTACAATTATATGTTTACATTCTTTCTCAGACTTTGGTATTTATTTTTCAACATCCACGTTTGATATAATTAATATATACTGAGTATTATGTGCCTCTCTAAAAATTATACCTAAACTAGCAATGCCCGCGGCTCCGCCCGCGTTCTAATGACCAAAAACCAAATTCTTAGGTTTTACATATTAGTATATTCTTACATTGAAGTTTTTGTATTTTTTCTCAGAAATGAGATATTTTCCCGCGGTACAAACTATCCTAATCCTATATGTTGACCCGGATAACCAGCTATCACCATACCAAATTTCATCAAAATCCCTCCAGTGGTTTTTCCGTGATGCGGTAACAGACAGATAGACAGACAGACAAAAATTCTTAAAACTATAGATTCGGCCTCTGCATCGATAGTTATGTCTATTTCATTAAGATTTGCCAAAAAATATTGAATGTACAGATTCGGCTTAGTTACAATTTTATTATATGTATAGATATGTATTTTTATAATGTTTGCACGATGTTTGACGAATCAACATGAATATATATGTTTTCCAGATTTCTCCAAAGATTTTCCAGCACGTGCTACGTATCAAGTTGCCAAACTCCCTCTTGGTGCGGCAGTAGAAATAGAAGCCATTGCTCTAAGCGGCGACGTCGTCGTGACGGAGGCAGGACCTTGCCCTTGCTCCCGCGTATAAATCATTGGCTAATAACGACATTTATTTTTAAATAAAAAAAATGTTGTGCATCAATAAATATAAGTATTTTAATTTAGTAATATTTTTTTGGAAACAGATGGTGAACGATTTAATACAAAGAAGTTAACACCTTGTAGTTGTCTTTATCTGAGGTATACTTAATATAGGTACCTACGTGAAGTTGGCTTAATATAAATACATATTATTAAAACTTATTATACTAAAGTTCATTGAGGATCTCGTTGAAACTGGGAGGGAACCTTCCCCGTTGAACGGTTCCCGGACATTCACATACATTTTACCAACACGTTAACAACAATTAATACTCGTAGAGAAACACACCAGACGCATAAATTAATTAGGTACCTGCACAATAAACAATAGTACTTGAAACAATAGTAGATACTTGAAATAAATATAAAAAATGTTTATTCTTTATCAGGTAAAGTTCATCAAAGATTTGAAAAGTACATAAAATCTATATAAATATCAATTAATTATATATTCAATCGCTTTTTCAGGTAGTATTTATTATAAAGTGTAATTAAAATATGGAAACACTATTTATAACATTATTTCGGGGTTTGTTCTCAAAAGTAATTATGGTGATGAATAACCTTAATGTTTTCTGTTATTAACTGTGCTACAAAAATTATTTAAGATTATTTCACGATAGAGCAAGGTTAACGTACATGCGTCAAAGAGCAAGTGCAAATCTACCCCTCATATCGAGGGTTCCGTACTCTGTAGCATGAAATATATTATTTTATATTTTAACATACCTACATAAATACATACTTTGCATGCGTCTCTAAAATAATAAAAAAGAAACTTAGCGACGTCAAAAATTTAAACTTAGAAATACCTCACACTCTTATGCGGACTCGATTTTTTTTTCATCATACAACGGCATACATATGAGAAATATTTTTTTTTTCACATTCGTCCACACGTTCACATGACACACCTTACCTGTCAGTAATTTTAAATATACTGCCAGTAGTAGGGTAGGCTGGTCTAGAAGTACGCCGCGCCCCTAAGGTTCAAGTAGTTCTAAAATTAAATTAAATAACTCTAGATAATTCATCAGTTTAGCGTTTGTACTTAATAATTACATCTTTCATAAATCATCATAAAATGAAGTCGATAATTGCGTACTTTTACAAAAGATATTGGATAAGAGCACGCAGGACAAATTGTCCTATAACTTGCGTCCGAGCTACTTGCAGTCTCATCTTCGTATCGTACAGGCTTCATGCTGCATTTGGAATATCCTATCCAGTCTTCATTTGAGGTCTCTTTCTCTCCAAATATTTTGACTCTCTATAAGTGACGTATTCTCACCCGCGATTCGCACGATATTTCAATTTGTTTATTGTACTATTTGCAGGTAAAAAAATAATGTGTGTAAGAGTACGCGTGTACTCTTGTAACGTACTCAATTGTTTATTCTTGCACATATTCGCGGTTTTCTAATCGAGCAAAGCGCAACGCCATCTATTAGCATCGATTGGGATGGCTCGCGCCGTTACCGTTAGGTGAATTTCTCGCCAATCAAGCCGCATAATCGTATTTCTCAAATTACTTGTAGTTTTATCGCAAATATACGAGTTCAAAATGCTATTTAACTATTAAACAAAATTGATGAAAATGCACTTACCTAATTTCTGTTTTTTTATAGGTTTTGTTTTTTTTCGTACAGTACTAATTCTCACTACCTTACACTTCAAAATAACACTGAAGTCAAAATAACGCGTATCGTAAACAGTATCACGGCTATTGGAGTTGCATAGCCTTATCCACACTACATTATATGACCAGCCTACTCACTACATCTTAGCGAAATGGCTGTGATATATCATATATGAAGACATAATCATACTAAAGACACGTGACCATAACAGGGTTCTATTTTGTCTTTTAGCTAAGGAACTCTATAAAATACAAAATATATGATATATTTGGTGCCGTGCTACTGTTAAAATATTTGGGTTATCGATCTTGTTATGTACCTACTTAAATAATGATAAATGTGTAGGTAATAATTAGTTTGCTTATTTTATTTATAAGTATAACTTCTGAAATCTAAACGACTATATATTAAAAAAACATAATATCATAAAATATCAAAGTTGGGAATCGGATTTTTTAAACTTCGTAGTAAAAGCCATTGCAAGAGTTTTTAGAATGTTTGAACTGTTTTCAAAGACGGAACTTACAATTTGGATTCTCTTATATGTAAAGATTCTTTTTTAAAGTGAATAGGCGACTACTTAATACTTAATAGGGACATGGATGGTACAATATACATTTCGAGAAAAAATCCACCCCAAGTGGGTGGAGATTTTCAATGCATGCTTGCTTTCGATCAAAGTTTGATCGAAAATTGATGAGAAGTATTGACAAAAATGATATAGTCGCGTACCTTTTTAAAGCAACAATTCTGTGGTATATTATTTTGATGTACTTACGTTCAGCGTGGAAAGCTCCAGAAAATATATTTTAACGACACCATTATGAATAATTGACTCTTCTCTTAAATCTATACATATAATAAAAGTGTAACTGATCGCTGTCTGTACATAGAAGATATTTGAGAAAAACTATCATTTATTTACGCAATAGAACCCAAAACAATGATTTTTAGAATTTTTCTGTTTGTCGGTTTGTCTGTTTGTCTGTGAGTTTGTGCGCGCTCATCTCAGAAACGGCTTAACTGATTTGGATGCGGTTCACTAATATATTGTGGTAAGCTTCACTTAACATTTAGTATTTGTTTTATTTCAATCGGTTCATTAATAAAAAAGTTACGCTAACTAAAAGAATCACCTAGGGACGAACCCGAGCGGAGCAAGGGTGAGTCGCTAGTATATGGTATGGTATGGTATGGTATAAGACGGGCCAGTTTCCGCAACTCGACGTCTGCGCGCCTATTTTGCGTGTGTGGGAAATTTTCCAAATGTTTATTCTTGCCAGCCCAGTTCCTCCAGGAACTTCAGTAGTCTCTTCGTCCTACCGAAGACCTCCGGGAGTGTACTAGGGGTGCCAAGATGTTGAGCCCGGTACGCCGCTACACCTGGACAATGTAAAATCACATGTGCAGCCGTTTCATCTGCCCTCATGCAGGCTCTGCAGAGTGGGCTGTCAGTTATACCTAAATTAAATAGGTGTTTGTTATAGGGTCCGTGGCCTGTTAGAGCCGCGGTTATCTGTCTGAGTTGAGATCTGTTGAGATTAATCAGACGGTTAGTCGTTTTAGTGTTAATGAAAGGAAGCGATTCCTTTGCTTGCCTGCAGTCTGCGACTTCACGCCATATATTTTCGTGTAGTCGTCTTGTGCGTTGTCGTATTTGACCTTTGAGCCAGCAAGAAGGTAGCGCCACGATGGGCTCAGGACCTATTGCATTCAGGTCCGATCCTCTTCTTGCTAGCTCGTCGGCCCTATCGTTACCCCACGAGTTGCTGTGGCCTTTGACCCATTGTACTGAGACCTTGTTTTGGTCACTTTACCTGTGTCAAAGCGTTATGACATTCATAGATTATACCTGAAGTGGTAGAATTACTATTTAATGCCTGTAGTACTGACATGCTGTCTGATAGTATGCGGATAGAGAAGTTTTTGACGTCTTTATTCGCAATTGTTCTAGCTGCCTCAAGGATACCTAGACATTCGGCTTGGAACACGGTGTTATAGGTACCTAGGGGTATTGAAGTTTGAATGTTTAGATCATCAGAGAAGATCCCCGCAACCTGTCCCTGATTTGGTTTTTGAGCCATCAGTGTATATTCTAAGGTCCTTGCTGTCGCGACCTTCGTTTTTGTCTACCTCTAGCTCTATTTTGTATTTTTTGTCAAAATGTATTTGATTTGGATCCCGTCATTCGGTGCTCCCATGAGCGGGATGTCTTTGGCTACGTCTATCAAAATTTTTGTATGTGGCGTGCCTGTTTTTCGTAGCAACTTCTGGTTATCTAATCTTGTTGCGGTAGTCGCAGCCTCTTGTTGGATAAACAAGTGCAGCGGCAGAAGGCTTAGTATGGCTTCCAGGGCTGCAGTGGGTGTTGTTCTCATGCAGCCCGTTACTGCCATGCACACCAGTCTCTGCCAGCTTTGTAACTTGCATTGTGCTGTGGTTAGAAGAGTTCTACGCCACCACACTAGGGCACCGTAGCTAATCATAGGTCGTATAACTGCTGTGTAAAGCCATAGAGTTAGTTTTGGTTTAAGGCCCCACTTCTTACCTAACATTCTTCGGCATTGCCAGAAGGTAATGCTGGCCTTGTTTAGTTTGGTTTCTAGGTGTTTGGACCAATTTAATTTGCTGTCTAGAATAATACCTAGGTATTTTACTTCTGTAGTTAGTGACAGTGTCGAATTAAAGAGTTTTGGAAGGGAGTAGTTCCCTAGCGCTCTTTTGTTTGTGAACATTATTAGTTCAGTTTTGCGCGGATTGACGGTCAGATGAAACTTTTCGCACCACTTTTCAACTATTAATAGGGCCGATTGTGTTAATTCGCAGACCGTGCTTGTGAATTTACCCGTTACTAAGATGGCTAGGTCATCTGCATAACCGATTGTATAAAATCTGTTGTCGTTGAGCAGGGATATGAGGTCGTTAACTACGAGGTTCCACAAAAGAGGCGACAGTACACCTCCTTGTGGACAGCCTTTAGCAACGATGGCTCCCTGTTTGTTGCTATTTCCCAGCCGGACTACTCTATTTGCGAGCATGTGTTGAATCCAGTTTGATATTACTGGGTTCACATCATGTCTGTCGAGTGCTGCTCTGATGCTGGTGAAGTTAGTTTTATCGAAGGCTCCTTCAATGTCGATAAAGGTGCCTAGGCATATGTCTTTGGTATCTAACGCCTCCTCGATCTTGCATACTACAGCGTGGAGGGCTGATTCCGTTGATTTGCCTGAACTATAGGCATGTTGGTTCCTATGTAGAGGTGTTTTTACTAATGCATTGTCTCTTAGGTATCTATCACATAGTC